CTTGATATAGCTAATCTATCATTTTATGCAATTTTTGATATAGCATTATCATTTGCTAAGGACTTTCAAAGTTTAAGTGAAGATATAAAAAGCAAATTGCCATTAAGTAATGAAAATATACTTTTAGGGCAAACTATAATCATTCAATGCTAGAATATAAATAAGGTGATTATATTTTGATTTGTCTTTGTCCTGAGTGTTAACAAACCACCAAATACAAGAAATTACATGTAAGGAATTATGGTCCTTTGGATGGAATGCTTACCACTTTGATTTGCTTGCTAATAAACTCTTTCATCCTAATATTAAATATATTCAATCAAATAAAGGAGTTAGCAAACCTCCCACTTATTCAATCTAACTCTTTAGCAGGAGATAATATTTTACACATACGAAATCCTGCAACACTCACCTTCTTTGAAGTTGAGTCCATTATTATGGAAGAAGCATCTATAGATCCAGTTGGCATTCACAGATTTCTAATTAGATGAAAAGATAAATCCCCTAAAGAAGATATTTAGATGTCCCGAGAAGAATTAGTGAAGCTCACTAAACGAGTAGAAGATTACTTGGATTTGAACTCTACGTAGTAGAGTTCAAATGAGCCCAGGGGAGTTGATGTAGCACATTAATTGGATAAATAAAATGAAGCTTCAAGTCCAATTAAAAGAGCTCAAGAATATGTTAAAGCAAGAGCTCAATCAAGGCCTATTACAAGATCTTACTCAACAACAACAACAACAACAAGCCTTTGTCCCACTACGTGGGGTCGGCTACATGAGTCATTTTTCTCCATTATGTACTGTTAAAAGTCAAATTTTCATTTAAATCTAATAAAGAAAGATAATTTCTAATATTTTCTAACCAAGTCTTTTTAGGTCTACCTCTACCTTTCTTGATATAAGTCAAATCTAATGCCTTTACTTTCCTAACCGGATCATCAAAAGACCGTCGTTTTATATGACAAAACCATCTAAGGAGACTCTCTAATCTTATCTTCCACTGGAGCTACTCAAACCTTTTCACGTATATGCTCATTTTGTATCTTGTCTCTAAGGGTAAATTTCACTCATCCACCTGAGCGTCCTCATCTCTGCGACACTTAATATACTATTATGCTTCTCTTTTAATGGCCAACATTCTGCACCATAAAGCATTGCAGGTCTCACCACAATCTTACAGAATTTTACCTTATGTTTGAGGTGGACTTTTCTATCACACAACAAGCCTGATGCATTCCTCTACTTCAATCATCCAACTTGAATTCTATTGATAATATCCCCATCTATTTCACCATCACTCTGAACAATAAATCTAAGATATTTAAAACGTGTACTCTTATTAATAACTTAATTGCCCAAAGTCACAATCCCCCCACTAGGTCTATTACTACTAAAATTATACTCCATGTATTCAATTTTAGATCTACTCAAGCGAAAACCTTTAGACTCTAAGGTTGACCTCCATAATTCAAGCTTACCTTCAACTCTCTCTCTAGTCTTATCAACAAGAAGAATATCATAAACAAAAAGCATACACCAAGGTACATCCTCTTGCAAATGTCTAGTGAGAACATCCACGACTAAAGAAAAAGGATATGGGCTTAAAGCCGATCCTTGATGTAATCCAACTAAAATAAGAAAATACTTGGTCAAACCACCTTGTGTTTGAATAAAAGTGTAATAGCTCATGCATACATATCTTTAATGATTTGAATATAAGCATTATTAACACCTTTATTTTCAAGAACTCTCCAAAGCACTTCTCTTGGAACTTTATCATATGCTTTCTCTAAATCAATAAATATCATATGTAGATCCTCCTTATTTTCTCCATATTTCTCCATCAAACCTCTCAATAAATGTATGACTTCCATAGTAGACCTACCCGGTATGAATCCAAATTGATTTTGAGAAACATTAGTATCACACCGTAACCTACGCTCAATAACTCGCTCCCATAATTTTAAAATATGACACATTAACTTAATTCATTTATAATTCACACAATCTTGTGCATCACCTTTATTCTTAAAAATAGGAATCAACAAACTCATTCTCCACTCATCTGTCATCCTTTAAGTCTTCAAAATAGTATTAAAAAGTTTAGTAAACTAAGAAATTCCTTCATCTCCTAAGAATTTTCACACCTCTATTGGAATATCATCAGATCCAACAACTTACCCACACTTCATTTTCTTTAAAGACTATCTAACTTCGGTTATACTAATATGTCGATAAAAAAAAATCTTTATTTACACATAGGGTGCTAAGATCACTAAAATCAATTGTATTCTCATAATCTAGATTAAAAAGTTTAGCAAAATATCTCATACACATTTGTTGAATATCATCTTTCAAGAAAAGTACTTTTTGCTCTTCATCCTTAATACACTTCACTTGAACTAAATCCTTACTACTCTTATCTTTTTGTTTGGCTAACTTATATATATATATATATATATATTTTTCCCTCCTTAATATCTAATCTAATATATAAATCATTAAAAGCTAAGATCTTTGCATCGCATATTACTTTCTTGATTCCTTACGTGTCTATTTATATCTTTCTCAATTATCAAAATTTTTACCTCTAAACTAAATTTTATAACAAATATTCTTATTTTTTATCTTTTCTTACACATTTGGATTACACCACAAAGTATTTTTACTATTAGGAGTATTTTCCTTTGAAACTCCAAGCGCATCTTTTATAATATTCTTAATATCACTAGCCACTTTTTTCGACATAATATTAACATCCCCATACACAGACAAAATTTTAAGATCTAAAATCTTACAATCAAAAATATTTTTGTTAATAGTCTTTAAATATCTCCATCTAATATTAGAGTATCACTTTGTTTTATTTTTTATTTTCCGCCCCTTCATTTTAAAGTCCAAAACTAATAAGTGATGTTGGGTACATAAACTTTCACTCAAAAATAACTTTACAATCTTTACAATCTAAATGATCTAATTTTCTTATAAAAAAATAATCAATATGAGATTTACTATATCCATTCTTATATGTGATGAGATGCATATCTCTTTTCTTAAATAAGATATTAGCAATTAAAAAATTATAAGCTAAAAAATCTAATATGGTCTTACCACCATTAGAGTTTTAATATTTAAATTTTAAATTTAGCATCTAGAAGATTTGATTTTTCTTAGAGAAGATGTATGTATTAGCCATTTAATAGAGATAAGATGAATTAATAAAAGTAGTAGGCACATTCCTCCATTAATAGCCACCTACTCCCTTTTTCCCCCAAAATGTTTATCTTATTATTGAATTATGATAGTCATTATAACTCTGTAAATAATGCTTATATATAATAAAAAATATTTAGTTTTTGAATGATAAAAAATTTTAAAAGAAATTTATTCCCTTTTGATCCGTGCTTGATGGTCTACCTTCATCAAATTGGGTAGAATTGGTTAGTTGTCTTTTCTTTATTCATATTGTTACTCTTTTTTTAATTGTTGTATCTTTTCGTACACTCTAATCATCTTTGAAGATCAATCATCCACAACTCGAGCCTTAAAAAAGTCAACTCAACCCTCTTCAAACCCCTCGATCTAGTTTAGGTCTCTTGCTTCTAATCTCATTCTGCATACTACTACAAGGCATTTAATCTCACAAACTCTACTATCTATTCTAAATTAAAAATTCACATCTTAATCTAATCCTCCCCCATTATTTGCAGCCATTTGCCCCACTCAAAACTTATTCTCTAAAATAAACTTACAATTTAGCCCAAGCTAGGCCCAAACAAAACCTAGTCTTGGCATTCCTTTGATCTTATCTTTCCAAAATCCTCATCTTTTCACCAAAAAACTCCAGATCACTTCTTTAAATAACAAACTAAACATTCATAAGTATTTTCATTAACTAATACTACCAAAAGGGCCTCACATCATCATCACAGCCCATATGGAGCTCAATGTATTTTGATCAACCTTCCTTATTTATACCATACTAGCAATCATTACATAAAAATAATAGATATTGGTAGTGGATAAAGATTTATCGGGTTGAAGAATTTCCCAAAAGAGCATGGACATAATGTGCTAGCCTTCAACCAAACAACAATAAGGGCAAATAACATTATCAAGGCTAACTAAAGCAAGCGAGAATAATTTATGGAAAGGGCTTCTGAGTGAAGTCTGAGTTAATTTTTATGGCTTGGATTGTAGATGAACGGTGTTAAAAGATAGCTAAGGTGTAGAGAAAGATGCTTCTAAGAGATTTAGAAGAAGATTTCTGAAAGGTAATAATAAACATACAAAATAATTAAACAATCTTATTATAGTTGACAAAAGTAGGCCAACAAGCTCTGACTAAAAGAAAACAACTTTTTCCAAAATTTTCATTCAAAAACTGAAATTCTCAATACATGCCATAACTATTTATATAATTATAATGACTATCATCATTAAAAAATGAGAGGAAATTTTTGAGAAAAAAGAAAGTGGGTGGCCATTAATTAAGAAAGATGTCATACACTTTCATTAAGTCATTTTATCTCCATTAAATGATGAACCTATACATGTTTCCTAGATAAAAAGTCAATTTTATAGAGATAAATTTGAAATATAAATATTAAAACTTCAACTTAATTATTTTATTTCTTGACCGAGCTCTTCTAATGAGCCTTGAGTGGGTTTTTATTTAACACTTTCTTGGGCTCTTATTTGAACTTCTATAATTAGACCTTTATCTTTATTTTTTATCTAATTGATATGCTCCACTACCCACCCTTTTGAATCCCCTAAAATCTGCTGGAAGAAACTCATTCTTTGCATCACATTGTTGGCTTTGGACAGCGTTCTTATTATCTAGATTCACAAAAAAACCAACAAAATGAAAACATCAATCCAAATTCACTAGAACTAACAGCATCCAATGAAGCTTTCAGAACAATAAGGACAGAAAAACAAACCATGCTCGTTATAAATCAAACAAAACAGCAAAGGGTCAAAAAGGTTCCTTACCAGAGAATTTATCATTCTGCGCTTCGACAAGTGGCGACCCTTCAAGCTGATGCAAAAGAACAGGAATGAAACCTCGTACAAACACCGTAGGAACGGGGAGAGAAAGCCGGGTGATGAACAACATTACCTTACAGGACAACAGCCGAATGCAGCATCCATAGGGCTCCTCCTCGACTCGGACGACGAGGACGGGACAGACCTCGAAAGTGAAGAATTTAATACGGTAGACGTAGCACCTGAAGGTGTTTTCATCAACTCGCTCGATTCGCTGCGCGTCAAGCACAGAGTACTGGCTCGCGGGCAGTGCCATGTAGTCCGCTGCCCCCAAATCCAAAAACCTAAGATGATCTTATCAATGAATATATACCTCGCTTTCTCTCTCTATAAGATTTTTTCTTACCAAGGGGCCGCTGGAGTTGCTGCACTTCAGAGGATTCGGAGCGGCGAGCAACGAAACGAGCTTTGGTGGCCGAGAATATGGTGGAGGCAGAGACGGCAGTACGGCGGTAGAGTTGGAGGCGGGGCTTGCGGAGGCATAAGGCGACGCCGCCGACGAGGCGAAAGGACGGGCAATGGAGAGCCATTCCAATGGCTTGGAGAACCGAGAAGAGAGAACAAGTGGTTGGAGATTGGGCTTGGATACTTCAAATGGTGACCTTTTTTTCATACTAAAAATTAAAAAAAAAATCTACATCATTGGATGTAAATAATAATAACAATAATAATTTTTTTAATATTAATATATTTGAAATGAAACTTTATTATTTTGAGAAAACTTAATATAAATTTAAGTTGTTTGGGATAACTTCTTTACTATTTTGTAAAGTAAATTTTTTAATATAAAAATTTTTTGAACTAAAAAGCAATTTTAAAAAGTAATAAAAAAGTTGTCTCAAATGAAATCTTAATCATTGAGCTAATTAGGTATGCTTATTCTATTGAATTCAATCAATTTGAATATTATGGGATGACATTTGATTGTTATTGCATAAAGGTAAGGATAATATGTAAAATAGTAATTATATACACTTATATTATTCTAGATATGATTAATGAAGTCATAATGGGAACTTGAATAAGTAGTCATTAACATGCATGGGATGTGTATTATTTGGATAAAATCAAATATTAAATCTAACCAATCATATTGGTTTGGTTCGATTTGGTTGTTAAAGCATCAATTATGTTCTTATTGCAATTTAGATTTTCTTTGATTTTTGTTTTTAGTTGAATTTTTGCTTTTGTAAAATCAATCAAATAAAATATTGAATTACTCTAATATATTCTAATTTGAATCAATAAAGTTGATGGACTATTAATAAATAAGTTATAGAAAAACAACATGAATATTATATATTCTTGTTGTGCACAAGAACATTCAACACTGAAGTGAGAGAATTAAATATCTTCATATTATATGGAGACCCACCACACATACATACAGGTAGTAAATTTTTATTGTATGTTTAGTCATTCTCCTTTGAGGAAAGGGATCAATATAATATAAAGTCTAATATGAAAGTTAGTGCTGCTGTTAAAAGTCAAAGTTGGTGTCAATGGCACGCATTAGCCTTATATGGATGATGACATCCATTAACATTGTTGGTGATAGTTGGTGAGAAAGTTAGTGGGCTTAGGTGTAGTTGGAGGATCATAGTCGAATGATGATCGTGAAAGGATCGTGATCTGATAATGGAATTCCTTCGATTATAGAATGTTCTTTTAGCTTTTATGTGCCTTAATGATATTAAAATTAGACAATTTTAGGCTCATTTTATTCGTCTCATATAGATGCTTGATTCGATTACTTGTGATATTTGAAGATCATTTAGTCTTCTAACTAATGCCTTGAAGTCTTTTATAATGTTTAAATCACTTGATCTGAGCTCATTTACACTCGCATCATACTACTTTTGGTGTCTATGGATATGTCCTATAGAGAAGTTGGGTTCAATTATAAGTTTGTTGAAGTTAGAGTTCAGATGATCATTAATTTAATTCTCAAAGTTTTCAATTCACATATGCATTAAAATTCATGCAAGATCAAGCAAAATTTTAATGATTCATCAATTTTAAATGTCAATATTAAAAATTTAGCAAATATTATGTTACAACACGAAAACGAAAATAATTTTAAGATATAAAACTTTGAATTCTTATTTGCACTAGAGCGATTTAGTGCTATGCTTGCGAGCACTGCGGTGCTAGGGTTGAGAGCACAGGGGCGCCAAAACCTACGACTACTACGTTTGAGCCTCTATTTCTAGAGAAATTTTGAATTATGCATGCAACGCTAGATTTGAGCGCTGCAGCGCCGGGCCACTAAAAGTATATATAAATTCTAAATATTTATTCTATTTCACCCCACCACCTCCTCACTCATTTCTTTGTCGGCTAGAAATTGAAGGAGAAGAGGAGGAAGATAGAGGGAGGAGAGAGAAAGTCTGTCAGGATCTTTTAGTCCATCATTCCTTTTACAAAAAAAATGTTTTAAGCATAGTAAGTAACTATCCTATTCTATTTTTGGCGATTTTGATTTATACAAATTTTATCTCTCCTAAATATGATAAAAATACATTATATCTTGATTTTGTAAGCTTTTATAGTGTAATTTTTGATATGCTATAGATTTAATCATTCTGAATAATATGATATGATTTTATTATATTTCATTGATTAGAAATGTATATATGAATATTTATGTAAAATGAGTAGAAAAATGTATATTAAAAATGGGTTGAAAGTGATATATTGTGATTTGATATGATAATATTTAAATGTAATATGTGCTAAAATTATTAATGAGATTGATATGTACTGGAATGAAATATTGATCTAATTAAAAAGGACATTTTAATTGATATTAGATATATGAAATGATGCCCTCAAGATTCACTGATTCGCTTCACTAAGAGGAGTTATAAGGAGTAGGAGAATAATTTAGAGTCATAAGAAGTTTGTGCGGCTGATTCATGTGATTCAAGAGGAGTTATAAGGAGTATAATAATTAATTAGGAGTCATAAGGGGCCACTGATTAGGAGTTATGTGGAAGCGCAAGATCAAGATGCCCTCTTCTTATCATATGAATATTGTTATTGATACTAACACTGATATTCATATAGAAAAATGATATCACCTATTGTTAATGATTACTGTTACTATTATTGATAATGATCTTTATTATTGATACTATAATTGATGATGTAATAGATTGAGATATGATGAGTTAAAAAAAAATAAGCTAATACAAATAACGGGTACAATTAACATATATTAATGTAATATAAATTTGCTTATATGATTCAAAGAATATTGTTTCTCTTTTTCATATCATTGATTTCAAATGTAAGATTTTAGTTACTTGCTATGCATTTATGCTCATTATGTCATTTTATATGATTTCATGTAAAGATAATGGGCCTACTGCTTGAGGCTACATAATGATGTTAATTTAGTTATCTTTTAATTTCTTTGGTTTATATATAATCTTTTGAAGCCTATGACAGCTATTATATATATCTTTTTGAATCTTAGAGATAGAATGTAAATATCGACTACTATAATAATGTGAATGATATTTTTTGTTGTTTATTTATTTCCTATAATGTAATTAATCAACTATGGATGTTAAATTGATCTAATTGTAAATGACTATTGGATGTTATTGAGAAATAAGAAAAAAATCAATCAATAAAAATAATAAAAGAAAAGAAATTATTTCATAATAGATCCCGAGGCGTGGCATATTAATTTGTATTTTTCTTTATGCATATTATTTAAGTTAAAGATAAATAATTTTATTATTATTTATTTATAAACATTGAACTGAACTAACCAAACTAAATTTTGGTTTAAAAAAATTATTTATTTGATTTATTTTTTAATTTTCTAATTGAAACCTATTATAACTCATTTGCAAATTGAACCATCCAAACTAACCAAACACACCCCCTAGCCCTTAATTATGAAACAAACTTAAAAAAGCCAACAACTTTGGACTTAATATTTTGAAGTCTCAAAATGTCTCATGTTACTCGAAGACATCTTAAATAAGATTCAAAAGAGCTAGTCCTAAATCATCCAAAATTTTAAGCACACTTAAAGGACCTTCAAAGTCACCAACTCAATCAAAGCATTTATTGATCAACCATACATACTCATCAGTATTCCCGTACTTTCATGTGGTTCCTTTTCTATTCTTCATCTATAACTTCCCTACTACTCATCCCTCTGCAATCGGTTTAACATGTTTATTTTCTATATAATTGTACCATGTTGCTACTGTAATGTCGATCATGATGTTGAATGATAAAACTCATCAAACTCATGTGGCAATAGGGAACACGTGCCATTGGTTCATAAAGAGATGAAAATATATCGCCCAAGTTGGTTATTCGATGAGGATATAAGAGGGATTCAAAAATATAATTTCAAGAGGGAAAGAGAGGGAGCAACGACCTCTAAAAGATTATGACACTGAATATTTTATAATGATTCAGTTAAATAATTGATAGACTCTTTTGGTGCTACTAATTTTGAGCTTTATGATTTAGCTCACAATATTTAATTCTCTAAAGATGGTTTAATTTGATAAGGTGTAAGTCATGTTTTATGCAAGTGCATATGTAGTGTCAATTAATATAATGATGAGAAGAGTATCACACTCATGGGGAATCTTGATATTTCCTAGATTCAATTTAGTACTTCCTACTAAACTATGATGTTTATCTAGCCACTGATGAAAACTAGATTAAGCATATTAAAATAAAAAGTTTCAAATACAGAAGGTAAATTCACTTTTAATAAAGTTTTGAACCTATGACATTTAAAAACACATGATTACATAAGAGTGATTTTTGTATCTATTGTTGCTGTGAATTAGAGCATAAATACTCATCATCTCTGTCAAGCTCATTGGAGTATTAACTAGAATTCCTCATAACTACAATGCTTCTATCTCCTTAAGATCCCATAATCCTAACCATTATATGTCTATATTATGGCAAGATTATGCTTTAAAACCCCTAATTGTTCTTCTACTCCTCCCTCGAGGCTCTAGATCACACTAGATTTTAAATTCATGTTAGGCTTGAACATAAATTAAATGAAGCTTAGAGGAATTAAAAAAGGCATGGATTTATTATAAATATTAGACATACTCTATGCAATACATGGCCTTTACACATTCATAGATTCAAAGTAGAAGTTTAGCTACAGATGAAAAAGATGTAACACAACATAAACATTTTATTCCCTTAATAAAAAAACAAGTTACAAACTTTAAAACACAAGGTAAATAATAGAAGAAAGGTTAGAAATGACTTGAATACAAGGTGCAGACTCCTTTACATTTCTCCACTTTGATTTGCAATAGTATAATACACCAAACAATAAGATAAGCCACTCACTCCCAATAACAGCCTTTCACACTCACTCACTCATACACACACATGACTCCACAATGTGCCAACCTTATAACATGAACACTAGGACTACAAATTATATTTTTTCAAATTAATTAAATTAGTGCTATGACACTAGCTTGGTGGCACTGCGGTGCTGTTGGACTGGCACATCGATTCACTATTCATCGCTTTGGTTCATCAATTCAATAGTCTCCCATCGCAACACCGGGCGATTTTGGTGTCACTTCCTGAATAACACTCCGACACTAATCTATCTAGCATATTTTAGAAAAAAAATATGCAGTGTTGAAATAAGCTTTAGCGTTGCAACTATGGTTCAATTTTTATGATTTTAAATATTTTTCCTGTAAAATAATATAAGGATTAAAAGCATAAATATTATAAAATATTTAATTTATACTTAACAACTTCACTTATTAAAAATCCATAGTCATTATGCAATCAATGAGAGAATTATTATTCATCCAAGTACAAGTTACGAGCTTTGGAAATAAGAGGAGAAATTTCCCTTATAATTTGAGCTATAAAGGTTCCTATCATGATCCTCTAAGTGTCTTTTATTTCACATATGCATTTTAATGTGTGAGAAAGAGTTTTTTTTTCTTCGCCCTTCAACCCCTTTTTGTAATGAGTTTTCAAGCCAATCCCTTTCCTTTTTGGTGTTAATTGGTGGGAGGTATCATAAGTAAACAAGATATGAAAATCTTAGATGATGATAATCAAGTGTGGTACTAGTAAACAAGAATCTCCACACAAGAGAAGTTGGCAAGGCCATTAGAGGTGGATTCATGGGGCATCAACACTAACTATCCAAAGACTATAGAGGCAAGAGTGTGAGTGGCATCGAAAGACATGATAAGTCAAAAGGATATTCTAACACAATGTATCATCATGGATTGCAAACCAAACTTGGACTTCTAAAGCATGGCCCATTGCATGTCTATTGATAGAATTTGTAGGAGGAAAACCTTAACCACCACAAAACCAAAAAAAGTTAGGTCTACATTGCGAGTTATCTCATACATAGGGCAATGTTGTAGAGCCTTCTTAGGGCGACATGCAATCAATAAGAGCCAAATGTACAATTAAGATCTCCCTAGCTAGGAAGAGGCCGAGGTTATCTTTAGGACCCATTTCAAGAAGATAAAAATGAGTTAGATAGTAGGGATGTTCTTGCATGGATGGATGCAATGTGGAAGGATGCAATGAAACTTTGTTTTGTGTGATATTTTCTTTTTTACACTTCATCTCATTTACAAATAGGATTTTAGTGGTAAGCACAAGATAAAAAATATGGAACAAAAACTTTCTTTAGATTGATTATTTAGTTATAAGTTGGTTGGGTTCTTCCTTTTTTGCTTTAAAGCATTCAATTAAATTTTTTTAAATCAATTCTTTATGATTTTCAAAATTTGATTCTCTCTCTTCTACTTGTACTTTGGCCATGATTCTATTCTTTAGTAAAGTCCAAATTATTTTTTATGGGCAACTTTAAATTCAAGGTTAGATACTTAATAGCCAAATAATGAGAGGTTGAACTAGATGAATGATAAGTAGAGCTAATGTGCTACACATGATGTGAAATCTAAATATATATTGACTATCATAATTAGTTATTTGAAAATTTTAAATTTATAATAAAATAAAACTAAAAATTAATCCAAATTTGTCAAATGTCTGCAAATAAATAAACTACGTCCAATGAATAAATTTCTTCTTTCCATCTTCTTACTTTGGAGTGATAGAGCAACTCAAAATGACATAATTAAGATATTGGATCCTATCAATGTCAGTTAGCATATATTTGGAGTTGTTGATTAATGATTATTAGATGAAGGATGACAACTACCAATTATTGTCTGGTGAATCTTAGAATACTAGGTTACCCTAGAAGTAATGGGCTTCATAATTCCTCATGACTTTGAAGTGCTTGGAGTTTATAATGTGAAAACATAAGGAGAAAATGGGTCTATTTATAAATATTATGATGTATGAGAATTAATGAGACCCTCCATTAGATCACAACCAATAATTGCAATATTAGCACGAAAATTCCACTTCCAAAGAAGGAAACAAATGATAATATAACACAGGGGTTTCAATATTTGACACAATTTTGATTGATTTGGGAATCCATCATAATATAGATTTGAGAACCCTAATATATCTCTCTCCCTCTATACTTGACGGCCTAATCTTTCCCTATATTTTTTAAGGATTTTAACATCTTCACCCCCTTATACAACCGACCCAAACTGTCTTTCAAAAGTCAAAAATATGCTTTACATCCACCATAAACAATGTTATTCCAAATGCTATCAATCCCTCCAATAAAATGCCTTTGGTTTTCCTTTTCTATTATCATAAATAAACTATCTAGGGCTAGGGATAAATCAACCCTACGCCAATTAAGGCTTTGTTTGACACGGCTTTTTTACTGCTTTCTAAAACAACTTTCTATTACAAAAATTTCTTGAGGTAGAAATTTTTATACTAAAAAGTTGTTGTAGAAAGTATTAAGAAACCCGCCCAAATAAAATCTAAATAATCCTCTTATAATTAATACCACTCAGCCCTTCTATCATCTTTATCCCCTACATAATTTTTTCTACCAACTCTTTAGATCTTTTTATCATCTTCCTATCATTTTGATGGGGGTAATCAAATTCTTATTCAAAATTATCCTAAAATATTTCTCTCTTACCAACAATTGATACACCAAATTATGCTCACTTGACCAAAAAATAATTTGAAGGTGCTTTCTTGGGGCTTATCATATCGATCATCCTGGGCTACAATCAAGCTTGGATGACCGATGGTAGCGGTTCGATAATAGTGCAACAAAAATTATCATAGGATAATTCTTTGATCATTTAACAAAAAATACCATCTCAAAGCTTTTAATGTCAAAGTACATATAAGAGAATGTATGGATCTAAAAGCTAAGGGTTAGATCATTTAAAATAGAACATAGAGCATCCTCCATATTTTACCTCCATAAAAATGGAGTGTAAATTGGAGCTCCTCATCACAATCTAAAAGCATATTCAAACTAATTTGATCCAATTTAAGTAATTCAAATGCCAAATAAGATCAAAATTGCAGAAATTTTTTCTATTGAATCCATCTCATAAAAATAATTTATTGAAATTAATATTAACATGAGCTCTAAAATATTTTTATTTTAAATTTAATATTAATTTTTTTTAACTGAAAAAATTTGTGTTAATTAAATCAAAGTTGGAGTCCTAACAATTAAATTTGCCAAAACTGAGGCATAAAAGTACAACGAAGAACTGTATTTTAAGAGAACTTATTTTTATTGTGGTTAATATGAAATTATATTTATCAAATAAATATAAAAAAAAGAAAATTATTATTATTTTTCACTCAACGTTCCCAATTCAGTCCCTTCTTCATTTCTATTACATAATCATTTTCATTTCATTTCTCAAAATTCCTTTAGCACTAAAAATCACCAAAGGCCAAAGTGTCCTCAACCATAGGGCTTTTGGGCAAATTCTTAACAAGAAATGCAGGACAATTTTTTGTCACTATTTTTTTATTGCTTTAAAAAATTTTATATTAGAAAATTATTGCAAAAAACAGTAAGAAAACTATTCCAAACAAAATCTAAGATTTCATTTGGGACAGCTTTTGTACTGCTTTCTAAACCAACTTTTTAGTATAAAATTATCTAATTCAAAATTTTTTTTACTAAAATATTTTAGAAAGCAGCAAAAAAGTTGTCCAAACGAAGTCTAAGATGCTCTTTCATCTCCAATTAAGAGATCAGAAGAGTTCAAATTCACATGTGTACCATTGTTCATCTCCTCTCCTCAGTCTCCAGTAAGAAAAAATAGTACAGAGACGAGCTAAACATTTCTTCCAGGTAAAAATTCATGTCTTTGGATAAGTTGCAGAGTCTGGACCAATATCACGAGAACCAGAGTTTATGTAAGGTCCTCGGAAAGTCGCCTGTGGAGGTAGAGGCTTCGACGAATCGATTACAGGCTTAGCCTTTGATGTCCTTTAGAAAAAAAGAAAACACTTTTAGATGGAGAACATTGTTATCATGCACATACAGTTTTAGGATCATTACTTACGCAATGAAGAATGGAAATGCTAAACCACCAGCTGCGAAGGCCAATAACCCCGTTGCAAGAACCAAATTTCTGAAGCGTGACATTAATAGAACTGAATCTGCAAAGCATGATGAATTTAGTTCATTTTCAATAAAGAGTTGGTGCATAGGATATTAAAATGCCAATACTGCAAGAGAGAAATTAATTTACATCAGCCCCAAAAAAGGTTGATGCGCGCGATATTAACATACTGTTGCAGTTCGTCAAGGAGCAGGTGCAACAAGTTCGCGGATTTTGCGGCTTCTTGCCAGTACTCCTGCTGCAAACACCTTCATAGCAGGATGAATTATTCTGCGTGGATAACGGACGGGGAGAACCGTCCGGTTTATCTCTGTGAACAATTCATGCTGTGCTTTTACTGTTCACACAGACAAAACATGACGGTTTTTCCCGTCCGGTGTCCGAACAAAATAATATCTCTCGTAGCAGACTTTCTATTTGGATCATCCTTTGGTAGCAGATTTGGAGATGTGTAATTGTTGAAGTTGTTGCATTCCCTTCCTAAAATGGAGTTCTTCAAATATGCACTGTGATCTGCTGATTATTGTAAATCCTATATAAAGATTTGATTAAGATTCTTATTGGGAGGGGGGGAATATGAGGAAATAATTTTTATTTGGGGAATATTTAAAGTCTTCTGATTTCTTGTAAGTGGGGTTAGAAGAATTTCGATATTATTGAATTCTCTCATCTATAAAATGCCACCCAATCGACCGCTTGGTGATCTCCCATGCAAAAGGCACCTCACGATCGAAGGAAGAGAGCGAAGAATCGGTCAAAGAGAATGGGTGATCTGCTATAGGAAGAAGTTTTGGATTTCATCACAAAGAGGGAGTGGTGTTTCACTCGGTTACTATAAAAAATGACTACCAATTTTTCTCCTCGCTAGTTTGCTGGATCTCTCATTGCTACAAGTGTTTGTTGTCCAGCCTTATCATAATAACTTTGATTCATCTCTACGAAGAATAATATCTACATCTCTCTCACTCTCTCTCTAAAAACTTTGTGAAGGTTTTATTTGATCTTTGTGCAATTATGAATATAAGTGGATCTCACCAAATCAAACAAAATTATGTCATCATGGTAGAATTTTGGTACAATATTTTTTTCCCCATCTTCATTAGAATTTTGATATATGTTTTATTACTGCAATTTATAACAAGTAGTATCAAAGCTTTTGGCTAAAACACATTTTCCCTAGCAAAGGAAGATTGGAATATCAAAAGTGACAATTTTGATAGCCAAAATTTCACTTTCTAAAAGATGCAGATGGAAAACTATCTCCACCAATAGAAAGATTCATCAATCATGAAAGTAATAAAGCTACAGACAATCCATTGAATAGTAGTGGGGACTAGGAGACAGATAAGCACTGTAGTTTACCTGCCTATCTCTCATCCTAAACATCGCCTTTAATAACCTCAACGAAATAACCACATTAAGGCTTCGTTTGGGACGGCTTTTTTAATGCTTTTTAAAGCAATTTTCTAGTACAAAAATTAAAATTTTTGTACTAGAAAGCTGCTTTAAGAAGCAATAAAAAAGCCGTCCCAAACGAAGCCTAAGTGTCATGAAGAAACTCTTTGACAAGCATAAAAAGTTCTCTACCATCAACAATGTAAACATATTGCATAAATGTGTCAATTTCAAGATGTCTGAAGGAACTTCAGTCTCTAAGCACATGAAAGAGTTCATCTCAATCAAAAGACAATTGAATACTATGAACATAAAATTTGATGACAGGATCCATGCCTTAAGTTTGCTTCTGCCACTACCCAAAAGTTGGGATATTGCTGTGAAGCTGATAATAGTTTTTATGAATTAGTCACTATGAAGCTCAATGATATCAAAGATCTTGTCCCCAATGATGATATCAGACAATATGACAGATTTGAAAGTACATCATCTTCTACTTATACGTAAATCACAAAAAGACATTTTCAAAATAAAAAAGAAGCGATGTAGTAGTGGTGCAAGTTAGCGATGTAGGCTGACTAGCCATATAAAAAAAGATAATCCGAAGAGTTCAACTCAGAAGGATGAATTTATGAACATTATTACGTGTAAAGAGATCTATGATGCACTTTTTCTTAGTGTGGATAGTCCAAGGAGTCCTGGGATCTGAACTTGGATGTAGTTTTTCACTCAATTCCATAAAAATAGTTCGTCTAGTTATTTTCCTTGGCGATTACATGAAGATTAATCTTATTGATTGTGAACTTCAAATATTGTGATTGTTGATAATGTATAAGTCAGGACTGGCAACTGGAATATGTGGAAGCTTTACAATGCGAGCATGCTCATTGCTTGATGAGAAAGTAGATCTCTATTGGGTAGTTATGAGAAGAAGGTTACTTCTTGACGTTATGTACTGATTCTTGGCAAGTGACTACTGACTAAGGCTTTGTTTGGGATGGCTTTCTTACTGCTTCTTAAAGCAGCTTTCTAGCTTTAAGAAGCAGTAAGAAAGCCATCCCAAACCAAGTCTAAGTGTGCGATGTAATAATATGTGAAATCAAGGATGAAACCAAGTAAATGATTTCAAATTAAGAAAAAATGAAAATCATTGTGAAATTTATCATGGGTGATTTTGGAGGATCAATGTAGAATAAATCTTCTATCAAATGTGACAAAGGGCATTGCATATGAATAGTGAAAAGAATTTCAGTATAAAAGAGCAGTAAGGTACCCAGAGAAAGATTATGACAAAGTTTGACAAGTTTGCCAAAAGCATAATAAGGTATTGAAAAGCCACAATCAACCATACAAGGTTGATTTGGTAGAGGTGTCCGGATGTGTCGTATAGAAAAATGTTCCAAACACAAACAACTAAGCATGACATCAAAAAGTCTATCCGAAGAGGGAGATTGTTTAATTTGTAGAAATAAATTTATTTACTAAAGTAGACTTCTCTTGATATGGCATGCAATCTCTTTATTACTATAAGTTCCTAAATTGAGATTTGATTTTTTTATAGGAAATAAACTACATGGAGTTTGTATTTATTTTATAAATTTTTTGAAATTATTTAATTTCTCACATGTAGGGTTTGAGAGTTTTCATATTTATGTATTATATCATTTATAAATACCACCCTTACTAACATCCAAAGACATCCCATGCTAATACACAGACAACAAAAAGAAGAAAGGAAATAATTAATCAAAAGAAAATTGAGAGATATAGGAAGGGCAGATAGGATCCTATTGTTCTAGTTTCAATACTGTAGAAGAGTTTGACCTCTTTCTACAATAGTGATGTTCGACTGCTAATAAAGAGAATTGGGTGGTTTGCTATAAGATGAGGTGACGTAAAACAACTAGGAATTGGTTAGAAATTAATAAAATTTGATATAAGCATAGTAACAATAAACTAATGTTTTATAAGATGGGGTTTAAGAATTTAAGGATATCAAAATTGTTACGGTAATCAGCTACACAATAGAAGAACAAGAACTTAAAATAACTTCAAACATAAATATAAACTTAAATGCTCTAAACTTTTAAATCCACCACATAACATCTAGAAAAGTCACCTCGAGTTTCCCTCACTCACGCTCTTTGAAGGGGAAAGAAGATGCCAACAATCTTAGCGATGCCACCAAAAGTGATAGGACACCACGGGTCTTGATCAACGGGAAGGTAAACGGAGGAGGAGACGCGGGTGGATGTTCGATGATTAACCACTGTCTAGAGGGTAGTTGTTCGTCGATAGTCTCAGCTAAGTGGAATAGGATACGGTTGACGTAATCGTCGATGGTGTCTTCTATCTCCCAGTTGGGGTTGAAGAACGACGATTGAAGAATATCTATCTACCCTTGAGAATCGTATGCGAAGCCGTGGTCTATTTCAGGATCGGCCATCCACTTGCAAGAGGAGTGGGAGAGGAAGTGTCTTCTCCTTCTCTTGTAATACTATTCATGAGGGGGATAAAATCCAAGAGGAAAGGAGAGAGGGAGGGGCGGCCTAGGAGGGGAGGGGACATGTTTTGTGAAATTAGGGTTAGGGTTTCCAATAGGGTAAGGTACAAAAATCTGAAATTAATTTCAGATTTAGTAAAATAGGAAAAGACATTTGGAAATTGAAATTTGAAGTTCAAATTCAAGTAGAAAGAAATTGAGGTGGAAAGAGGAGAGAGGAGAGAGGCTAGGAGGGGGCCGGTGGCATGCATGTGGAAAAGGAGAGGTTTGGGAGGGAATTTAATGCTTCTTAATTCATGGATCTAATTTAGGAAAAGGATAATTAAATTCAATCTAAAAAAATTAGATTAGATTCAGATTTAGGAACTTTCCTAATTTAGATTTAGTTAATTTAGGAAGGTTTTTGAAATTCAAATTTGAATTTCAAAATTGAATTGATTCTTTTCCCCAATCACTTAGGATAATTTAGGTAACTAATAATGATGATTGAAATCTCCATTAAGAGGAAAAGGAGGTGGGGTGGCTGGCGGTGGGGCTTGGGAAATGGGCTTGGTCGGCGGTTGAGGGGGCTAGGTCGACGGCTATGGAAGGGGATGGGGTGAGGGGCCGATAGGTAGGATGGTGTTTGGAGGGGTTCGGCGGTTGGAGCAAGGGGAGGAGATGGATGGCGGCTTAAAGCAAGGGGAAGGAGGGGATCCGACGACTTAATGCAAGGAGAAAAACTTGAACCATGAGTCAGGGACACTTCCGCCAACTGGTGGGTGTTGTTTTGCCCACACCTTAGAACTTCACTACTCAAGAACTCACAAGTTCAAGAAGAATCATAATTTTTCATAATCAAGCATTTTTACCCTAATACAAGACTAAGGACCTCATATATAGGCCTCAAAAGAGAAAAGAAAAGAAAAAGACTGAGATACCCTCAGACTACAACTCAAACTAACTACCCAGATGGATAAAATAGGAAAACTGAAATATAAAATAAACAATACATAAAATGCATCAAAAGTAAAGGCACCTGATCGTGGTTGTCAATCTCCGATGTCTCCTCTGATAAACGCGCCAAAATCTCCTGCTGATGTCTTCATCACGAGGCTTTCAATTTCATCTCAAAAGGAAGAAAAGGTGCTTCACTCGATTTGGCCCAGTGCAGATGATCATGTTCTCCTTCCAAGTTTGCTAGATCACTTTTTTACTACAACAGGTGTTTGCCATCTAGCTTTATTATAACGATAACTTCGATCCATCTCCTAGATTGTAAGAAGAATATCTACAAATATTCTCTTAAAGCTTAGTGAATTGATCTCTATGAACTTGAGTTGCAGTTGTTTTTCTCATCTAAATGTTATTGTTGTCACTTATTATATATCTTAACAATAATTTTATTTTATTTTGTAATTATGAATAGGGTTTGAGGCACAATAAAAGACTATTTTATAGCTTAATAAGTAGGTACAATTAATTCTTTTTCTTCCAGGATTGTTTTCATGTACACCAATAATTTTAGGGGAGGCTGTCTGTTTTTATTAGTCAAAGGCTTGCTTTCCGATGACTTTTTTACTTCTTTTTTTTTCCTTCTCCGATGAGCATCTTATCACTTATAAAAATGGATATAGTAAAATACAGATTGATTA